GAAAGTAGTAGCAGTAGCCTTGCGTCGCTCCCAGTAGAGTGGGGGTGGAGGGGACGTGTAGAGTACACTGTGGACCCAGAATGGTTCAGTTGGCTGGTATCCACGTGGACATAACTCCGCCTTGTCCAGATGGCATTTATGAGCAGCCGTCCATCCCCCCCAGCCCCTGGGGTCAGGAGGAGCGGGGGAAGAGGGCTCGACCCGCCCTTCTGCTTCTTTCTCCAAAGGGTACAGAGACTGGGTAAATCAGTGGAGTAAACCCGTCCCGTTCATATTCCAGTATATATATATATATATATATATATATTTCTTTTATCTTGTTCTTTGTTTGGGGGGGGGGGACTAGGTGCGTCTTCTTCAATATGGTTTGTTCGAACTTTAGATTATGATGTAGTTGGAATCAATATTTTAATGAACCTTGATTCTACTATTTGTGTTTTAAGAATGTAAGAAATAATTTGACATTTTATCAACTATATTTCAAGTTAAAATACAATTTCTGTAACTATAAATTTATTTACAGCTGTGTTGCATCTTGAGATATTAGACTCTATTGCCTCAAAAGTATATGTTTAAAATAATTTTATAATAAAATTCTTTGTATATAAAATAAGGGTTTTATTAATGTTAGTATAGTTTTTGCTACTACCACCACAACCCACCTCCAACTCAACATATTTATTTAGTTTTTTTTTATCCCAATCTTAAATTTTAATTTTTTTAAATATTATTTCTTGACATTAATTTAAAAAACTTATTCTTATTAATAACATCGACAAAGGGTGGTGGTTTTATCCCAATCATAATTTTTAATTTTTTAAAATATTATTTCTTGACATTAATTTAAAAAACTTATTCTTATTAATAACATCGACAAAGGGTGGTGGTTTTATCCCAATCATAATTTTTAATTTTTTAAAATATTATTTCTTGACATTAATTTAAAAAACTTATTCTTATTAATAACATCAACAAAGGGTGGTAGTGACATATAGTGGATGGTGGTGGTAGTCACAATAATTGTGGTAATATTTGAACAAATGTTTAGGTTTGTGATTAGTTTTATGCAGATTTTGGTTCTATTCTTAAGTATTGTTGTTAATACTTTCTTATGATACATCAAGTTATGCTACATAAGAATCCATCATTCAATGAATTGAAGGTAATTAATTACAACTACAAACTTAAAAGTTTCAATATTCACACTTTTTAGGAACCATGGTACAAAAATGATCTTGTATACAATTACATTGTTGTTCTACACGTTTATATTATTCTGTTTTTGAATAAATGATTAAGGGCATCTTATTTTAATTTCCTTAAAATGTGTCATGAATAGTACTACAAACTTAATATAAAACAAAAAATATGACAAGAATTGCAAGAACATGATGAACTAAAAAAAAATAACATAAAAATAAAAAATAATAATGGTTTGGCCATATTTTTTAAAAAGAAAAACATGCTAGAAAATAATATTATAAAACTTTATACTGGTTTTTGCATTGAATTTCGATAACATCAATCAATAAAAGATCAGATGTGATTTGTAACGTTGAGTGGTTTTACAATCAAAATATTAATTAAACTTAACTTTCAAGAATACTTGCTCTAAAATTGAATTTGAGATAAATTTCTACAATAAGTGATAATAATTATTACATGAAATTTCTTAATTAAAATGACATTTTTATTTTAAATTTATTTATTTAATATATATATATATATATATATATATATCTAGAAAATTTTATTTGAAATTTGCACACAAGCAAGTGGTTTCAATGTATGCATGAATTTTAAAATATTATTCATACATCTATATTAACAATATAAATATAAATAAATAAATAAATAAATAAATAAATATATATATATATATATATATATATACATATCAATACATGTATTTGTGTGTCCATACATGTATGTATTTATCTAAAATATTTTTTGATAGGAAAATGAAAATCCAAAATTGTACACATACATCTAAAATTAAATTTATTTATATAAAATTCATTAAATAAATAACTTTTTTTACTTATTTATTTTTTACAAAATAATTTACTTGTTTAAATTCACAAGTTACAGCATGTATTGGTTGAAAGAAAGAAAGGTTATCTTCCTTTCTCCTAGATGGTAAAATAAATAAAAATAAAATACAATTCCAATATTTTATGTTTTAAAAATATTAAATCAGTCACACAAAAAGAGGTTGGATAGCATAGCATAATATTATGTTATAAATTAGAATTTTATCACAAAATTAGTAAACGGACACCTGTAGATATTATCATTCTAGCCAAAAAAATTGGACACCCAACTACGCTTATCTTTTTATATTAATGACTATTTGACAACTGTGTTTATAACAAAGAAAATAAAAGAAAAAAAATTATTATCTACAAGTGCAGCACAAAAACAGAAATAAATTCTAAAGTGTCGTCGTAAGCTCAAATTAAGACTCTAGAATACAAGAGCCATAGAAAAACAGATAAAATGTGGCACTATTTCCACGTTTCACACAGGAGGGCATCTTCTACAATCTTAAAGAATTTAATAGAATCTTTTTTCAAGCTTTCTTTCTTTGACGCTGATCAGAAACGATGAGGTTTGCTTCTGTCGTCCTCATTTACCCTTGTTGCGTGTATTGCTATGAGCTTCAATTACTGCCACAATACTCATTTATTCATAGTTAAAATGGCGTCTGTAGCAACATTGTTCGTATCTTTCGAAGAGCATGTCGGATGTGAGGAGTAAACTTCTTTGCCGCGGAGACGATATTTGCGGAATTTTGGCATCGGTTTTTCTGTGATTCGAGGATTTCTGGAGTCTGAATTTGCGAATTGGATGTATGCGACGGATGCTTATATGTTCAGGAGACAGGCTCCTATAATTACGATTGAGCAATTACATGCATCGGAGGTCTATTGATGGATAGGAAAGTGGATACTTGTTACGAGGGAGCATGTGGCATTCCGTCATGCTTGACAAGGCACGACTTCAAGATGGAAAAGTAAGTCGGTGAGCCGGTTGTTAAACGACGCATTCTCCTTGCTTAATCTGCGGGCATGTTAACGGAAGATTCTATATCTCATCCGCATTTCAACATTGTCAATCAACGCTTTAAATTCTTGTTCCTTCAGAGAGCATCGCTTTTTATGATATCAGTCAGATTTTGTGTCACAGGCATAAGAGCTCCTATTGTTTCGCGTGGCAGTTGATGGCTGTAGTTTACGAAGGTAAAATTTCGTGTGATTGGTTGAATTTTTGTTTTCAATGATTTTGTACAATTCTGTCCATGAACACAGATGCCGCAATAGAATATTAGAGTTGCAAGAGTGCTGTAAACATGCGAATTATAAGTCCAAGCACTGTGCATCAGTCAAAGGAATCCTTGCAATGATGAAGAAGAAACCACAGAAGTAGCAGACAGGACCAAAAGTTGCTTGATGATCACTGCATCAAATCCTCTTCAATTGCCTGCATGCCAACTGCGTGGATTACAGAATATCGTTGGGGTTAGTAGGGGGCTAAAACATTCTCAAGTTACACGTCATGGATATGTTGATTGGGGAAAAGGGAACTGAAATGCTGCCACGCACCATAGACATATTAAGTTTGGAATATCTAAATTATTCGATTAGAACAGCAGATGTTATAGCACATAATATACTCATGATTTTCGAACCATGATAGTCTGCTGCAGTCGTACAGTATATTTTGCGAAATTCTTAAAATCCTATGGATATCCACTAAGTTTTTGATGATGTGCAGCTTTGCTTTGCATGTGGATACTATGTATATGAAATAAATATTAGATTACTCTTTCAACACCCTCGCTTATCTGTCTTGCCATGATTTTACCTTCAAAGAATTGCCTCGGTTACTAATTCCAAGCACAAATCATCTGCACCTACAACCGTTGTAAATGACTACGTGTATAGTGTCACAGAAACAAGAGTTTCTAGTATAGTTACGTATGTTCGTCGTTGATAAGGCGAAAAACGACATGAGCATCGCATGCTGCATACATACCTACCTGACGACCTAAATCCCGTGTGAGATGACGACAAAGTTAGAGGATTCGAGCAGTTCCGTAAATGTTGAGTAGGCTTGCAGGTGAGGCCCATTTGTTGGCACACTGAGCCTTCAATTTGATGGCAACGTGGAAAGAATAAGCTGATGGCGGAAGTCCTGGATCTGATTTGGTTAACACCTTGATATCCGCAGTGCCGCCGAATTTGAGGCTGGTAGCCACGTTTCGACGTTGCAGATGCATATGTTGCCACGAATGAACCGTTTCCTCTTTCGACTGCTGTGCAAGTGTATCATACTATTTGATTTGGCAACAACTTCTTGACAGTGGACCATCAAGATACTATCGAAGTGCATTTTTGCAGCTACCAGTCAAAATTATCGATATGGGTTGATATTCACTGATATAATTGCTATTCAGACTGCACTTGCAACTGCTCTTCTGCGAATTTCATCGTTACTTGTCAGGAGTCATGGGTCATTAGTCCACCTGCAAATTTTGAGGACTTCTCTCTTAGATCGAAGAGGCTTCATCGCAGTGGTGAAGTCTTAGCTGACGGAGTGTCATCGGAACCTGAAACGTCGAAGATGGTGGGTATGAAGATTACGTCGGGTGCGGTGCTGGTGATATGCTTGCTGGTGGGTACGGTTTACGGATTTGTGGTCAACGAGAAGCCAGAAGATGGTTGGAAATATTCAGTGAACGGTTGGGGAGACTCGAAGGTGTCGAAGAATCAATTCGTAAGGGAGAGTCAGTACCAGTCGATCAGTTTCGACGACTTTGATCCCAAAGAGTTGGCGACCAATGCCGAACAGTTTGCAGAGAACACCTTCTCCGACATTCCACAGCAGATCATCAGTCAAGAGAGCAGCTATATTTACAACGCAAGGAGGACTGGTGATCATCAGCTCACTCAAGCCTCTTTCGATTACCCGACAAACTTTGGTACGAACCCCGCCTAATGGTTCTCGGTCGAACAGTCAAAAGGTAAGAAGCATGACAGTTTTTCAGCACAATTCGATAACAAAAAGAACCTCGACGGGGGCAAGATCAGCAACCCCTACGTGATTAATGCTCGTTAACCTAGAAGTTTCGATGCGACGACATTGTCGTTTCCAACTGAGAACCCCAAGAACACGCCATCTTATGTGTACAACGCTCGTAAAGGTGGCCCCGGCAGCCATACTCAGGATACAAAGACATCTCTTTCCACCACAAACGAGCAGCCGAATGGTGAACCAGCGAAGGGGCATGAAGGCCCAATTTCTTTCTATACTCCCTCCTCGAACAACGATGGAGTTTTTAGTTTTGTCAACCCCGGGGGTTCAGTTTCTAGCGCATTTAGCGTTAGCGAGGCCGCAAATTCCCAGCCAGCTGACAAAAGTGGTTGTTCAAGCTCGTAAGTTTCATATTCCTCTTTTAAGCCTACAGGAATTGCCGAGTTTTTTGCACTAGCATGCTATTGTCACTGTGCAGTCACTGCGTCGCGGAGTGTATGATTTGCGTCAATTTTTACTTATTTATTTATTTGGTGCTATGTAGATACTGGGCAACGCACATTGAGCAGTGGCCGAAGGTCGTCAACGTCTATACGCTTGTTACAGCAGCCTTAGGAGGACAGAATGTCGGAAGCGTCTACGGAACCACTACCTTGTTCCAGGCGTTATTGGACACCCGAAACGACCCTTATAGCAAGCTTCTACGCCACAGCGTTGCTGCTCTGCTGAATGCGATCACCAAACCCAGCTACAAAACTCGCCCCAATGTTGTGATTGACAAGTTCAACAAGGCGTTGATTTCAAGTGCCACGGCCGCTGCCCCAGCTCAGACGTTTGAAAATGAAAATCATTCTTACGGGTTTAACGAGTGTTCGAACTAGTGCTACGAGCACTTATGATATCGGGCAATGAGCCAATTCTCAAAGTATAGTGGCTCTGGCTGTAGTTACATGGTAACATCCCCTTCTGTTTCGATTAGCTTTTGAAATCGATCCAGCTGCAGGGTTTGTAGGTCGGATAGAAAGCTTCATCAGTGAACTGTGAAGTATTCGAACTGAAGTCTCGAACAGTTCCATTCACAAATCGAGGACTCATCCACAAAAAGCTCTTGCTGAAATATCTGAGACATTTGTGTTCGTTCTGTAGCATGAGCGTTAGTATGTGTTAGCGAACCAAGGTCGTGGGTTTCGCGTGGTGAAAATTGTATTCACGCTTACGCGATCAATACGAAGTACACAATCTGACTGCAATCATATGTGTGCATTGCGATCCATGAGGACCCCAGTTGATCTCTCAGAAGAGCCGGATCTGGAGGGGGGTGGAGCTCTGGATGTTCCCAAACTGCGTTCAGAGCTGCCTGTATTCGTGAACGGCACAACTGAGACCCGCGCCTCTCAGTTTAGGGTGTTGAAAACCTTACAGATACTGTATTCACGCGTGCTAGTCTACCAATGTATAAAACTGTCAGTGCATGGGTTTCAAAAGTCTTCACCTTTATCTTTGCAATAAATAAATAAATAAATATATATATATATATTTCCTATAATTTTGCAAAGTTTTTAAGATGGCAACTCATTCCTCATCAATTAAAGAAGGAGAAATAATACTATATAGAAATTTGATAGGGCAATGGTATGATTCAAGCACTTGAATTCATAAGCAATCAAATTGGACTTAAAAAAAGAACAAGAGATTACAAAGGTACACATGTTTTAGAAAATTTATGTAAGTTTGGTAGTTAGACTTAATAAAATATATATTTTAGTTGAGATTTTACTATGTGATTTTCTTTGTAGATATATAGATTTTTAGCTAGAAATTAATTCTAAGGTGATAGAAATGGATGTCAAAATGGTGAGAGCAAAATGTATATTTTTAATTTTTAATTTTTATTTTAAAAAATTTTAGTATCATAAATTATCATCATTTTTACTTGCCTTCAAATTTGGCATAAGATACAAGTTGGAATTAATATTCATCAATATAATTATTAATAAAAAATAAATATAACTCAATTATAATAAATTATTCATTAAAAATTACATAACAATTTGATTCATGGAGCTACAAATATTGTCACAAATATACATATTTATCTAGATTAGAAGAGTTAAATAGAAATAAGTAGAAGTAAATAAATTTGATAATATCTTATAAAGAAGCTTCATAGATGCAAATTTGATTATAAATTTGCAAGTGATTGATAGGTTGAAAACTTGGCCAACAAGCTGACCATGTATTGTACATGTTGAATACTTGTGGTACAAGTTGGATATGTGGCACACATATAAGAGAATTGTCTTACTAGTTAGACTCCAAACTATAACAATTTTGTACATAAAAAGAATAGTGAAGAAAGAACATGAAAAAGATGAAAGTATTACAAACTTGACATCTATTACTCTTTAGAGTACATGATACATAATAAATATATGTATCAATATAAATACAAAGTACAAGTTGAACACAAAGAGAATCATAATATACCACTTGATTCAATAGAAATTTGATGCACAATAATAACCAAGAAAATAATTTATAGATAAAATTTAACAAATATATTTTAAATTTAAAAAAATTAGTTGCAAAAAGAAATATAATAGTAATAAGAAGAAACTAAAGAATTACAAAAGAAATTACCAACACTGTAGGAACTACAATACACTCACTTAACTACAATATATTTCATAGATGCATTATAATACATGTGGATTTTGTGTCATAACAACTTAATTAATTAACAATTACACAACTTACAAAGAATAATCATTGTTGACATACAAAAAAAGAAAATCTATGTTTTATCTTCATATGAATAACTTGTGCATATATAATCCTAAAAATAATATATAATCTATAATATATCTTTAGATGAAACAAATTATAGATTGAAATCCTTGTCTAATTATATAAGCTAAATGTAGAGTCTCTAAATACAATGGATAATATTTAAGATTAGATAAAAAATCAAGGTTTGAAAAGTTTATTTGAAATATAACTCATCCATTAAAAATTTAATATTGAAGATGTAATAAGACAAATAGTACCTAAATATATTATTAATAGAAATATTAAGATAAGACAAAATTTTTAATAATATTGCTTCTAGTAATGAGTCTTGCTTTTGGTGCAACCTTTATATTTTAAATAATAGGATCAACTTGTATATTTAATTGGATTAATAGAGCTAGATAGAAGTAAGTAAAATTAAATTAAAATGCTAATATCTTATTTAAAAGCTGCCTAGAAGCTATAACAATATAAATTTGACTTTATATATGTATGTAGATGATTAATAGGTTGAAAACTTAGCCAATAAATTAGGCACATTTTATAAAAGTTGATAACTTTTATTATAAGTTGATCACATGGCACATATGTTGAAAACTTGCCTTATAAATTAGATACATGTCTTACAAGTTAATAAAATGTCATAAGAATTATAGAGAGTTGTTACATAGTTTATTAATTAGATATTATATTAGGAGGTTAGAGTGAAGCTTTCTTCACTCTTGTGAATACTTTTCTTGCTTCTAGTCTTATTTTAAGAATCTTCAATCTTTTTTATTTTTACCAATAGCCATTCCAATTACTTCTTAAATATACATATTTCATTTTTTTCTTCTTTTTCCATCTTTCTTTAATGTACATCTTGCTTATATATTTATATATTTTTTATTTCTTATTCTTAATAATAATTATTTTATATTATTTAATAATTAGCTTATTCATTAATTTTTTTTTATTATTATTATAATAGATATTGTTATGTAATATGGCATCGAGTGCCAAATCTTGTCAAATATATATCATTTAATTTTATTAGTGATTTTTCATCTATTGATAGTTTTTTTTGTTAATTGACTTTATCCATATTAATTAGCATTTAAATAATTAAGTAGAAAAAAATCCTTGATTTGACATTCTTGTCAAGTCAAATCTTGTGATTGATTTTGAGAATAAGAAAACTTATTGTAAGGATTTGCTTTGCTATGGTGATTTAGCTATTTCAATAAAACTTTAGGATTTCTTTTATTTTTACACTTTTATTCTTAGATTCTTCTTTTGTGGTATAAAAGATAGCTTGATTTATTTGGTATAGATTTCTAATCTTTTACTTGACAAGAATTTGTTCACTCTTCTTCAAATTGTAGTACAACAGATTGAGATAGAATAAATTTGAAAAAAAAAAATAATAAAAAAATCATATTATTGGTTTTTTTAGCTACTAGGTTTTAAGTTTTTAGAAGCTTCTTAGTTGTTGTGCTGGGCACTAGAACCAAACTGGATTACATATTGTGGTATTAGAAAAATATTGCGACAAAGTATATAGGAGGTATGAGGTAGCAATATAAGTCGCCATAGTGTCACAACATTGGAGGATTATGACAAGATGTCACAAACATACATACTTATTCTAATATTTACATATATGATTTAATAAAAGTAAGTAAAATTAGATTTATTTCACAATATTTTTTAAAAAAGCTTTTTAGAAGCTTTATAGATGCTACTTTGATTTTATATTTATTTATAGTTGATTAGTACATTAGAAAATTGGTTAACAAATTAATCACATATTGGTAGCTTGCGAAATAAGCTAACTTTGTGGCACACATATAGAAAACTTGCCTTGCAATTTAATATATGTATCTTACAAAGTTAACATATTTTAGAAGTTCTATATGACATTGCCATATAGCTCTTTGTTAAGAGTATATATAGAAGTAAGAGTGAAGTCTTCTTTACTCTTGTCAACACCTTCTTAGTCTTTAGACTTATTTCAAGACTTTTTACTCTTCTTATCTTTGGTAATAGCCATTCTAGTTTAATATTATATCATCTTTGAAAGATTTCTAGTCTTTTTGAGTGCCACAAGAGTGTCTTGATCTTTCAATTCTTCAAGATTCATGTCCTTTATAATTTGATAAGAATGCTAACTTATTGTTCTTGTTTTGTTTTAGAAGTTAGTGGATTATTCCATTTCTATTGTTGTGCTTTGAAGATTGCAGATTATCTACTTTTAAACAAACTATTTAGTTTTTTAATACTAATTTTTTTTTCTTAAAAAGAGCAAATATCTTTCTTTGCAGAAATTTTCATATGATATTAGAGGTTGCAAATCACCTTCTTCTAACTTGACTCGTGGATTTGTCAAGTTGTTTGAAATGGAAGGAAAAATCATAGATGCTACACTTAGTGGAAGTGAGAATAGATTTGTAACTATTGTACATCTTCACAAACTTATGAACGATCTTAGAATGGAAATTTCTTGATATATTTTTAATATTACTAGTGCCAACTACAAAAACACTAATCCTATGCTTATGAAAGAAATTCAAAATTAATAGCAAAAAGTTGTGTAATTAAAAGAAGCAAATAGATCAACCTCACAACCAAATCTAGGAAGTTTGTCATAGACATACTCATGTAAGCTAGTAATTATATATATAAATAGGTAGAAGTAAGTAAAAGTAGATAAAAATAAGTTAATTCTATAATATTTGATATAAAAGCTTCTTAGAAGCTTCATAGACGTTGCTTTGACTTCATAGGTGTCTTTAATTGACTTTTTGGATTAGAAACGTGGTCAATAAGTTGGCCATGTACCACACATGTTGTTAGCTTGAAGACCAAGCTAACTATGTGGTGTATTCGTAGAAAAACTTGCCTTGTAAGTCAAGGCATGTGTCCTATAAAGTCAACACATATTGAAGGTCCTATAGAATGTCGCCATGTAGCTCTTAATTAGATAGTATATATAGAGACAAGAGTGAAGTCTTCTTCACTCTTGTCAACTCCTTTCTTGCTTCCAGTCTAGTTTCAAGAGTCTTCATGTTTTCTACTCTTTGGCAATAGCCATTCTAGTTTCTCTTTCAATATACATACTTGTTTATTTATATTTTGTTACCTTTCTTTGAGTGAAGGCTCACTTGATTGAATTGCTTTTCATGAAGTTCTTATCCTTGAGAGATTGACAAGAGTACACTTACAATATCAGAGCTTTGTCTTATCTTGATTAAGAGTGGATTACTCCTTTTTTCTTGATAAGACACAAGCATAATAGAAGTTGCAGATTACCCTCTTCTAAACTGATATTGTCGTCAATATTTTCTTTGTTCTCAAGTCCTTTCTTCTATTTGTTTGGAGTGATATTAGACATCTTCTCTTTTCTAAGTGTTATTATGGCAGAACTTGCTGAAATGAAGAGTGCAATGGCACAAATGCAAGAACAATTGAAGAAGTTAAT